CATCACCAAATCAATAGGTGACCCAACAATACCAATTGTGGCGGAGATGGGGGAAGGAAGATAGGTAGTGAGGGGGTCACATGGACAAAGATGGGGCTAGCTGTCAGGAATGCTCACAGGTGGTGTTTAGGTGGTTAATCATTGGAGACAACGTCTTGGTCAGACAAGATGAGCGGATGATGTCACCAGGATGGTGGTGGGTGCCGAAGAAGGCCATCGGATTTGGTCCTGCGTGTCTGTGTGTGTGTGTATATACATATATTAAAATAATTAAACTAATTAAAGTAAATTGAATGATCAACACAATTTACTAATTTACCATTTGTTTTATTTTAGTAAATAACATCAATTACCTAAAATGATTGGCTTATATTAAACCTCACAATTACCATAAACTATCTAGTTTTCATTTGATTGGGTCCCTATATATATATTACAAATTTAGGGTTGGGTTTTCGATGAGAAGTAGAGCTAATGTGAGAAGCGTAAAATGGATCTTCACCTTTGAATGCATATTAGGATGAGATGCACCAAGATACACCGGATAAATCCCTATATTAATACGTGATTCATAGATAAGTTTGAGATTAAATATGATTAAAGATCATTCTCACATTTCTTAATTCTTTTTCTCACACGATTTTTTACCTACAAATTTATAGTACAAGAAAATGAAAAGATAAAATTAAACTTAAAAACACGTGTTTTATTTATCTTAGATGTGCATGTACTCTAACCTTTTTTAGTAATTCATTTTGGTCACAATTAAATAATATTATAATTATAATTGATTGTATAAAAATAATTATGGGTTGAATTTGTAACCAACCAATAATACAAGGGTATTATTGAATATATATATATATATATATATATATATATATATATATATATATATATATAGGGTTGGGTTCACGTGAGACCAAGGGTTTTTCCTGAGACCCGTAATCTGATCAACTTTATAATCTGATTATCTAATGGTCTAAAGTTGCAAGATGGCAATTTCGTAATTATTGAGAAGTCTCGTGGCGTTTATGAATGTTTAGATCTGACGATTATAAATCTAATCCAAGGGATGAGAATTGGTCTTACGAGTCTCACGGAAAATAATTGGTCTCATATGATCCCAAGTCTATATAATATATATATATATATATATATATAGAGAGAGAGAGAGAGAGAGAGAGAGAGAGATGAGCGTTCAAATAAAAACCGGCCCCATTTGTGTAAACCGTGTAAACCAATCTCATCCATCCATTTTCTTGATCAATGACCAAAATTAGTTTACTTTATTTTAGAAAATTAAATAAAAATATATATTAAAAATTTATTTTATTTCAACAGTAAGGGCATAAATGGTAAACAAAATTTAATATTTGGTAACATCCTACTCGATCTTTCATTAATCTTTTTTCATGCAAAATTATTTTCTTTTAAGATTAGTTTACTTTCATGAATCTTTTTTCATGCAAAATTATTTTCTTCCTTTCGTTCCTGATTTGATGCATTAATTCCTTTAAGTCTTGCAATCTTAAATATTCTAAAGCATATTACAATCTTCAAAATTCTGGAGCAGTTTCTTCATGTACCCGTTTCATCATTCAATTATTTCATGACGAACCAAATACATTATGCAACTGTTTCACTAGTCATGCTCAAGAACGCCATGAACCAATTTCACTTTCATGAAACCTATTTCATGTACAGTAATTTTCTTATTTCACCACTGATTTGATGGATTCATTTCTTTAAGCCTTACAATCTTCAAGATTCTGGAGCAGATTACAATCTTCAAGATTCTTTAGCAGATTAAAATCATTTCATCATGCACTTAGTTCATGACGCATCAAATACAAAATACACCGGTTTCATTTTCCTCTTCACCAACTAAATGGATCAACTACACAATCAATGCAACGGGTTCACCATGAAAATGTTTCGGTTCACATAATTTATTTGCAACATGAACCAATTTCACGTTCATGAAACCTGTTTCATTTCTGGATTTTTTTTTT